GGCGGAGCCTGGCAGGCGGCGTGAGGGGTGTCCCCGCGCCTCGTCCGCAGAGTTACCCCATTTCGGTAGAAACGGCTTTTGCGAGAATGCGGCGGAGGTGCGCTTGGCAACGTTAAGAACAAAATCCCAAACAAAAGTGGTTTTTTAAACAGACGTGTGCTTGTAGCGTATGGATTCCAAGTGCAGCAGCAACAACAAAAGCCAGGAAAGCCCAAGTCACTCCCTTTGTTTCTTATTTCGAAGTTGAGAATCACACAAGCTCTGGGAGCAAGAGCTGACATTTGGAATTTTTATTTCAGTTTCAAACTACTAAGGAAAAAGGAGGTAAGGTTTTGAAGGCAAAAGGCTTCAGAGAGGTGTTGTTGCCTTTGGAGGGTGTGCTCACCTGTGGTAGCCCCAGGTTTACAGCTGAGACACTCTTATAACTGAAAGATTTCAAGCCAGTTTGTAATAGTTTATATTAGAGACAGATTCTTCTTTTTCTCCACCTTATTGATGTAGCAATGTTCGTCTGAAAGTGCTGGTAGTGACATAATTCTTCGATGTTATGACACTGTTGTAACTCGGTCCACAGTTAGGTTTGCAACCGTGTACAGTGCCTGGCTTGGAAAAACGGAACAAACCCCCACCTGCCTGGCACACTGGCATAAAAGCTCTGCGGAGGCAATATCCTTGTCCTGTTTTTCAAAAGCATTACACTGTTCTGTTCAGTTATGCTCTCTCAACTTCTGATCACCCAAGAGCAGAGGTGCTACATATTTGTTACAAGCATTCTGTATAAATAAAAAGTAGAATTAAAATGGTTTTGCCACCTTCTCTGTAGTGGCAGTTTCATGGGCAGTCCCAGCACAGAAGTAAACTCTTGGCTGTAGTCTCTCTCCTGTCAACTTCCTCTGCTGCCTTGAGCAAGGTTGTGTGGATTCAGCAAGACTCGAGCATGTTTCTGAATTTAGGCATGTTTGTAAGTGAACTTAAAACCACTCAATTTAAATAAGTAATTGATTTGGGATCATACGGCCTTATTTATCGAAATGTCATAAGCGTCTGCACTGTCAATACCTGAGTATTTCTGAGAGAGCTAACCATTGATCGCTGTGCGTGTGTTTTATCCGTGTGCAAAGCAGACAAGGACACCTTGTCTTGACAGAGATTTGAGGTTTTATTAATGTTTATTTAGTGACTTAAAGAGAAGAATGCTTTATTGCTGTGCAGTTGTCAGTCTGATTTAGCTGCAAGCGAGGAAAGCAGATGGTGCACGGGTAAGCAAAAAATGTCATTGCTGGGTGAATGAAATTCATGTCGAAGCATTATTTTCTCTACGTGCAGAACTAATGATGATGTGCGAGTTAATTCAGCTTATAGTTCAAAACTCCCACTGCTTCCTGCTGTGGTTAATTCTGGAATTATTCTTCTATTAATGTGTTCTCCGATGTTAAAGACTGGTTTTAGCCTGTCTGGCATGTGTCATCTTTTTGTTTGAGTTGATGGGAAGGTTTTATCACGTAGCAGTGAAGCTTTTCTAAAAAAGCAGCACAGAACTCTCTCATGTTTTTTGCCTTTACTAACACTGTCTCAGGCAGCTAATAGAATATAAATTATGGGTTTAATTATGAGAAAAAATAACTTACAGATTATAAATGTGGATTTTCCCCTTTAAACTTTTTGTCAGTGGTAAAAAGACTAGAAATGTTAGCATCATTCCTTCAGAATGAAGAAATACTAGCTTGTAAAAGTTGAATTTCTTTTGTTTGCATGAATCTAATAGATCCAAGTGTATATGGAGTAGCTATAACTTGCTTTTGCGTTACAGATGGCCTGTAGAAGTTGGTCAACGTACTCAGAAAAGACGATTGTCTTATAAACCCTAGTTCTGTTCTAGCAGGGATAGCAGTAATGAAAACATTTTTAATCAGAAGAATTTCCAGGTGCGGTCAGTGTTTTGAGCAATGGGTTGACAAGCCACTGTGACTTACTGCAAAGTCAATCTGACACGGATAACTTTCTGGTTTTGCCTTTCCTGTTCTGTAAATATCTCCAAGGGTTGAGATTTCTAGACCTGAGAGAACAGCTTGTTTTATAGATAAAAGGTGCAGGGAAAGTTCCATAGCTTTTTTTAAAGTAACAGAAGTTAAACTCATAAGCATAATGATTCATGCCCGTAAAATGCCGGTGTTCAAGTCGTTAAAGGGATTCATGTTGTAATGTTGTTAATATAATGTGTGTTTATTCAATATTATACAGTAACTGAATAACCTCATAGCTGTAATTACATGGCAAATACTTCTACTCCCTCCTCACTGCCAGGACTAGAGTCTTGAAAGCAATCCTGAAGTAATGAGTGCGATTAACTTTGTATTTTATCCTCTGTCTCTAGTTAAAATTCACTCTGTTATGGTTCCTATGTGGTGGGGCAGTTTGTCTCTTGGCTTGGGGGGTGTGGGTGTGTGACATAGGACAATTAATTGGTTATTGATTAAAGTATTCCCAGCCTGTCCTTTACTTCTGAATACTTTCTTTATGGACAGAATAAATATTCTAATCCTGTTTGCTTTCCAGACCTGTTTGTGTTAGGCCGTTCCTCCTAATCCTGGAGAAAGACAGCGTGAAGAGCTGTGAACATGGTAAGGGCTTATTGAGATGGTTTTTGAGATGTTTTGGCAGAAATAAAATTAAAAATGTTATTGGTAAATTTAGTAAGTTGAAAAAATTTGCTGTAAGACACATGTCTGTTCTAGGGAAGCTATTGCTTGCAAGACACTTGAAATCTTGTTTTATCAGCTGATTTTGGGGGGAAAGTGTGTTGACTTACCATTTGCAATTAGTCATGACTAAATTCCTTAAAGAGTTCTTTTAATTTCATGTAGAGAGAGGTCTCTCAATATAGTCAATGTACCAAGTAAAGTGAAAAAATGAGAACGATCCAGTTTGCAAGGGAAACTGGGGCACACGTAGTTGTAACATTTCTTATGGCATCTCAACTGTCGTTCTAGATTCGAATTGCGGCACTCAATGCGAGCTCCACGATTGAGGATGACTACGAAGGTACTTTCAAAAGTCATAAGACACAGACAAAGGAAGCTCAAGTAAGTAAACCCACAATTTCCTTGATGGAGTTTCGTCTGGATGAGAGTTTTGTCCCTTCTCATTGCAGGGATTGTTTAACCATAATTTTTTGTCTCTGAGAAAGTTATATTACTGTGTTATTTCTTGAGTCTTCCTTTAGCAAGCTAAAAATTCACTCAAATGAGTTATATTAGGTCAGTAAGGCTAATGTTCTGCTATACATTCTGGGTGTAGATTCTGTACAGCAGAAAGTATTGAGTGTGAAACCACTGATATTCGTAAGAAATATAGGTATGTTGTAATAAGTATATTTAATAAAGTTGCCCTGCCAAAGATGTTCTAATTTTTTAAACCACAGGAAGCAGAAGCTTTTGCTTTGTACCACAAAGCTTTGGACCTTCAGAAACATGACCGATTTGAAGAGTCTGCTAAAGCTTATCATGAGCTGCTTGAGATTCGTCTTCTGCGAGAGGTCAGTGATCTTTAGAGAACAAAACTCTGCAAACTATTTTTATTATATTTTGTATTACTTTGTTTCTTTTTGACTAATTAGAAGTGTCAGTCAGCGTTATCAATTGGCAAGCTGTTTGCTGCTCTTTTTACTTTTCTAAGTCCTAATGCCCATGTTGCATTTATTTTATCATATCTAGGCAGTTCTTTCTGGTGATGAGAAAGAAGGGCTGAAACATCCAGGCTTGATGTTAAAATATTCCACCTATAAAAACCTAGCACAACTAGCAGCACAACGGGATGACTTAGAGACAGCCATGGAGTTTTATTTGGAGGTACAGTACATACACCTGAAGTAAAACACAGGAGCCTCAGTGTTTGCAAAAGCTTGCTAAAATACAGACATGCACCTTTCAGCATGCATCATTTGTGTACATGTCTGAATTCTGCGTACTTTCTGATGTTATGTGTCATACAAGCAGTCTACTCTTCAGTCCCCAAACCAGTAGTGTCCCTGTTGAAAACTAAAGCAGGGCCAGATAAGTGGGTATGCATGTCTGAAATGTGAATAATGTTATTTGTTGTGCTTTCTAGGCTGTAATGTTGGATTCCACTGATGTCAACCTGTGGTATAAAATTGGTCGTGTGGCAATAAAGCTAATCCGCCTGCCTTTGGCTCGTCATGCTTTTGAAGAAGGTCTCAGGTGTAATCCTGATCACTGGCCTTGTTTAGACAATCTTATCACAATCTTGTACACACTCAGTGACTACACAAGTAAGTACAGTACAACAAAAAAAAAATCTCAAGAAATATGTAAGTTCATGTATAAATAAAAAGTGTAACAGTGCAATTGTATAAGAGGTGTACCTTGTGTAAGCAGAATATTAGGGTATGATGGAGATTTTTACTTCACAATAGAGATTTTTTTTAATTTTGTGGTAAAGTATGATGGTTTGTATCAGTTCTGGTTACCCTAAAGATAAATGCCTGTGGTCTCTTAGATCAGAGCCTCTGCAAGAAGGTTCCCTGTAGACTGTTCTCTTGCCTTTCAGTGCATGTTGATTTTGTCTTTCTAGTTATTTCCAGCTATGTAGTTCCAGGATTTGCGTATAAAACTACAGTCTAGTTCATAGCCTAGCATGATTAATTGTATTTACAGCAGTTGATACGACTGACACTGAGATTTTACATTTGAGTAATATCCAGTGGATTAACTGGTTCAAATGAAGTTTAAGAGAGAAGTTGCAAGATGGCAGAACTGTTGAATCTGATCCCTTAGGTTTTTCCTACTGGAATGGTCCTTATTATGTTCATGTAATTGTCCATGTGAGCAAAAACCTGGTGTGATTCATTGCTTGTTAAGCTAATGGAATCTGCAGTGAAGACATTTGATAACATAAAAATGGCAAATTATTATGTGATTCTGCTTTATAATTCTAATTTATTTTGTGCAAGAATGGAGTCTTGAAAGTAAATAAAAGATGTACTGCAAACATTGTTTAAACAAAATTAATGATATTATTTTTCTGGATGTAATACTTGGCAAGGCAGATTATTTTAACTGTATGCATGTAATTATTTGACACGTTACAAAGCTATTAGTCTATGTAAATGTCATGTTTAGTTGGAATTCAGTGGTGTATATGAAGCCCAGAAATGGGAGCTTTTGAATTAGCCAAAATGGCAACTGACTGTTCGATTTCTGTTTCTCTGTCAGCGTGTTTGTACTTTATCTGCAAAGCTCTGGAAAAAGACTGTCTATATAGCAAAGGATTAGTTCTGAAGGAGAAGATCTTTGAGGAGCAGCCTTGCCTCCGGAAAGATTCCTTAAGGATGTTCCTCAAATGGTGACTGTCATCTTATAGTATAGACTGCATTTGGGGTGTAAATTTGGGGTTTGAGGTAGTTCAGAAGAGCTATCGAGATGTAATGCTTTAAGTTTTAGCTGTATCTTGCTGAGCTGTCTGCTGAATAATAAATCAATGTTAAGTGTTGGTGCTGCTGACAGAATGTCCTCCAGTAATTACTTTTGGAGGGAGATGGAAAGAGGCAAAAAATCCATTTGCTGCTGCTCACTTATTTTCATACCTCAATCTCTTGTAATCTATGTTCCATCTATTTGTTTATTTATCTGTCTATTTATTTGCTTATTTATTTATTTATTTATTTATTTATTTTATTTATTTATTTCCAGCCAATAACTGCAGCATTCATTTTAGGGGTTTTCTTTTCCTTAATGAAAAAAAACCCCAACCCTACCACACACTTTACTGGTTTACCAAGAAGTTACAAATTTGAGACTTGGTGCAATATTCTCATACCAGTAGGTTTCAGGGAGTCATACTGATTTTATTGACAAGTGAGTACAGTCAGAAGGCTTTGTACATTTCATTAATTCCAGAGATGCAGAAAGTCTTAGTTTATTAAGCTCAGACCACTGCACACTGGGAATATTTTGCAGTGTTACATTTGAGATTTTATTCCTTTATTATTTTTTTTTTAATTACAGTATGTAAAACTTTTTAATAAAAGTTTGGTGTCCTGTAGGTTTGCGAAGTAGACTGTCTCTTTCTGTGTGGGTTTTATAGTATGAGTGGTAGGAGGAAATTGGGAAAAGAAAGCGTAGGCCCATAAAATTTACAGGATTTGTTCAAGTTAACTGACTGTTCAACATCAGAGCTGCTTCTGCTACTGCAGGATCTAGTTGAAGATGTCCCTTCTCATGGCAGGGGGGATGGACTAGATGACCTTTAACTGTCCCTTCCAACCCAAACCATGCTACGATTCTATGATTCTGTGTTGCTGTGATGGTCAGCAGAAGTCAAGAAAGAAATTAAGTTTTTAGTTTAATTTTAGTTTGGTCTCACTGAATAAACTAATTGCTGCATATGCAGGTAACATCAGTGCCCTGTATAAGTTGTGTGTGGTAAATGGAAGTGGAACATGCATCCTAGCAGGCGTCCTTAAGTTGCACAATAAATCAGTCAAAAACACGTTTAACATTTTAGACTACTATATTTGAACATTTAAAATATGAAAATACAAAGTATTTAGAAGATATAGAAGAGAAAGGATAACTTAATTTTTAAGGCTCTTGGATTCTATGTGTAGTAGCAGACCTTTAACAGAAAGTTCTGTTTAGTTATAGAGACGCTGATTTATTAAGCTGCCTTAGTCTGGCTCTTAAAATGAATCATATGCTGAATTAAGCCAGGGCTTTTAGCCAGTTGGTTTTTGTTTCTGGTTTGTGATATCTCTGAAAAAGTGGATGATTTTTCACTTTCAAAAATTCATTCCTAGACTCAGACTACACAAGACAATTTTCAGCTGCAGATTGTATTTGTGATGACATGAATTCCTCAAAATAGCATTTTGGAATGAAAGGAATTTTTCAGCTGTACAATTTTTTTCTGAATCAAAAACTTCTGTCCAAGAAAGAAAACAAAACATCTTGCTTTCCTTTCATTTCTCAGTGTTTGGAAAACAGAATAGGACAATCGCCCTTTATCTTTCAATTTTTAAGGTAGAGCAAATATTTCAAATGGTGAACACTTCTCTCTGCATGCTGTAGAGTTTGTCAAATAACATTATTGGAATGCTTGTTTTAACACTGTTGATTTTTATGTTACATTAGAGGAAAATACAAAGTTAATCTTCTCAGGCTTTAAAAAAGCCAAGCAACCAACCAAAAAACCAACCGAAACCCAAAAACTTTAACTTGTTTTCATTTCTTATTATTTCCTAGTGACATGTCTATCCATAACGTAAATGTGGGTGCAGCTGAAACAGGAAGAATCGTAGATGAAGCACTGGAGCTCCGCAAGAAAAGACAAGCTTTGCTAGTGCGCGACCGAGAACCCGACCTCAGACTGGTCCAGCCAATTCCCTTTTTCACGTACGTCTGTTTTCTGTTTTTCAAAGGTTTCTCTGAAACCACTTATCCTGACAACCGTGTTACACTTCAGAGTTCTTCTGAACGCTTTTTCTTGTGAAAACAAACAAACAAGACCCCCGGTGTTTTCACGTTTTATGAGTCCATAGGTTGTTTTGATCTGCTTACAATTTTAGCATAAACCCTGTATCTGTCAGTTTTCAACCTTCGAATTAAAGCCGGTGATGTAAAAAACTAAACAAACTAAGAATGATTTGGCAGCCATTCCAGTTGTATTATTGGATTTTTGTCTAGTTTGTATATGAAATTCAAAACGTTTAGGTTTTTAAAAATGTTTTTACTATTGCAATAATGGAAACTCAAAAACAAATTACAGTTCTTTATTTGCAGTGAGATATAAAGATACAAACAAGTTATTTATATGTTTTTATTAAGGCATAAAGGACTAGTGTTTAGTTAGGTTTTTTTTATTGCATATATTTTTCTGGAGTATTAATGGACTCTGCACACAGATCCTATTGCAGAGAAATTGCTTCTACTTGTGGATAAGGGTGAGACTTTTTTTTATTGTTGATTGAACGCAGAATCTGGAAATGGTTCCTTGACACTACTTTTTAAGGGTTCAGAATAGAGCAGTTTCCTCAGCAACTGCTGCGTAGATCTGTCTTTGTTAGACATTTTTTGAGATCAACCACATTATTGACTCCATTTCTTTCCTGCTGCGACCAAGTCACCAGTTTCCTCTGAAAACCTTTGCGTGCTGCCACATTTTGTTCTTGTTTTTCTAAGTGGTGTATTCTAGAAGGAAAGCTCTGTTTCAGGCATGAAATTGTCAATGGTCCATATGACAGGAAATACGGAAAGATATTCTCCAGCTTTTCTAGTCGTGGGACAGATGTGTATTCCTCTCCCACTGGAAGGGTGCTCTTGCTACCTCTAAGCTATTGGAGAAAAACAATGTTGAATGCTGCTAGGTTTTTAAATATAATTTAGAAGATAATGGACAAGAATTAATGAAGTTGTGATGCCATTGTGTTTCCACATGCAGGTGGAAGTGTTTAGGAGAAGCTTTACTTGCCATGTATCACCACCTCACGACATGTGATCCTCCTCGACCCAGTCTGGGAAAGAGAATTGATCTCTCGGAGTACCGAGACCCAGTTCAACATTTGGTTCTTTCCCCTACCTCTACTCCTGTCAGTGTTATTCAGCCAACTCCTGTCAGCACCAATCCGGTGGTGACAACACCCGATCCTGTATTACCTTATACTCCAACGACACCCAACTTTCCAAGTCACAGTCAGAATTCACTGGAGCCAGGAGCTGCTGTAGGTGAGCAAGGTACTCCAGTCGAAGATTCAAGATATCTTTCCTGCTTCTCTGGATATTAAAAGCACTACAGAATTCATTGGGAAATGCTGTCTTTAAACTGCGTGTTGGTGGATTCAGAACCTTTTCAGCCTATGGATAACATCCGGTAGAAAAAGTGAAGTTGAGCTACATAAAATTAAGTTCTGTTAACCATTCACATTAGAAAAGGAAGGCAGCTTAAACTGCCTGAAAATCGTTGATTCCTGACTAAGACCAGTGTTCAGGACAGTGGACTTACTTTCCTGTCCAATGGAATTGAGGGTCAGGTTGATTTGTTGTTGTTAATTGTTACACCAGTGCAGGAGTATCTAACTCCTTCTGGTTTTATGCTATTGACTCATACTTCAGTTTTTCAGTCTTTAAGATTAGAAGAATCATGACTCCATTCCAGCAGTGATGCAGATCAAGCTTTTTATGTTGTGAAGAGTCTTGAGCTCCTTAAAATGAGTGATCTGTTACAGAAAAAGATGATTGGGTTATTCTTCTGCTCATATGTAACTTTAAGAATCTAAGAGTGCCAAGCTGTTGCCTATATTTATTTGAAGTCTGTAGCAAGAGGTTTTGACTGTTTTATACTGTAGTTGTATATGTATTTATATATCTAAAACTATCAAGGAGTTATCCATGTTTTGTTGATATTCATGGGAATTTACAGGTGTCTATGGAGTTAAAGGCAGACTCCTCTGATTTCCATTTCAGAAACTTCTTGAAGATTAAAATAATGAATAATGAAATGCAGAATTTTCACAAAGTCCCCTTCTTGCCTCAGACCAGCATTTTAATGCAAAATGCCATAGCCAGTTTATAGTAAACTGATTTTTAAGAAATTTTTTGGCACTATCTTCAGAAAGAAAAGAAGGAATTTCGAGTGTTGCTATAGAATAAAATAAAGTGTCATCCACAAAGAGCTTTTTTTTAAAAAAAACCCTATTATCCATTTTTTGTTTGGCAATTTTAACTGCCAGTATTTTTTTTTCCTTCCTTTTTTTTTTTGTTTAATTCTATTTTTAGGTGACATATCTGTAGGTGATAAATCTAAGAAAGGGGTGAAGCGAAGGAGAATTACAGAAGATAGTGGTGAAACAGCAAAAAGGAGATCTGCTAGAGTCCGGAACACCAAGTGTAAAAAAGAGGAGAAGGTTGACTTTCAAGAGCTGTTGGTGAAATTCCTTCCTTCCAGGTGCTGTACAGCGGCAACTTTCATTATGAGAGTATCAAGAGATGAGTAGAGGAAGCTGTTTGGGGTTTTGTTTGATTGATATGCTCCAACCTTAAAACCACTAAAGCATGTTATTTTTTGAAACAAATGTGATGCTTTGTCTTCTCGTAAATTTAATAAAACTGTTTTTAGTGAAAATTACTAAAAACTAATTGAAAAATAAGAAAGCTTTTACTAATGTGAAACTGAATTAGAGGACAATGCAGTTGTCAGATTGCATAAGATCAACAAACAAGGTAGTCTTGGTTTGGAGAAAATTTGGGTTACAAAACTTGGAAACTAGATCTAAATCTCCGAATGTGCTTCAGTTAATATCCTTGCACTGTTCAAATATGCACAACATGCTTAGATTTCACTTACTAGTGACGATTTTATTGATATTGTGGTTTTTGCCCTCCTTTCACACAGATTAAGGAAATTAGATCCAGAGGAGGAGGAGGACCCTTTAAATAACTATGAGGTACAATCAGAGATTAAAGAAGAGAATTTCCAGCATGTTGGACCACATCGAATGTCTTTTGATTCTACAACATTTATGGAATCTGGTAAGGATTTCATTATAACCCGCACTCCTCCTCTGTTGTTTCTTCCATATTGTATGCTTTATTTTCTGTGCTTTCCTATGTTATATATAGAGGATACAAAAGTATATATTGTTTTTAAAACTCTATTTTTATGGCATAGAAACACCTCATTTGGTAACAGTTGTGATTTTTTTTTTTTTTTTTCTTTTAAGTCTTGGGGACTGCTCAATTACTGTGTCAAGAGCTCTATTGTGTGGAGTTTCACATCTAAACAGATTGGAATATAAGAACTTAATTCTACCTGCATGCAGCACAGGAGAACTGCTGCAATATAGTGCATAAAACACTGCTGGAACTTACTTGTTTCAAGTTATGGTCTGCCTTGACCTTGAACACATATGACTTTGTGTTTATCTGCTTTCTAGAAAAACAGGATGTTCATGAATTCTTGCTGGATAACCTGAACAATGGTGGGATCTTGGAGCTGATGATGAGGTATCTAAAAGTCATCAGCCAAAAGTTCCTAGTGAAGTGGCCTCCTGGCTTGTGTGAGGTGGTCCTTAGTATCTATAATAGCTGGAGAAAGCATAGTGGTAGTCTTCCTAATCCATTACTGAGGGACTCAAGTAATCAGCATATCAAGGTAATGAAACATTTCTCCTTATAATTCTGTTTCTTTGCCACTGTGTTGCTCTCTGTGTACCAGAAGTACCTAATTGAAATCTGGCAATTAGATGCAGATTTTGCTTAGCTCTGCCTGGGGAGCTGCTTGTCCTAGCTGTCCCATCCTTCATAAACCGTGGTGGCCTCCAGCTCACGGAACTGTTCCTGAGCTCCTGAACGTATCTGGGTATGGTATGAGTACACCCTGTACGTACTGTGTGTGTGTATATATACACACATGCACATAGACATAAATATATTTAACTCCTTTACTCTGTTGTTGCTCTTTATTTTTCTTCCCTTTCTTTTTTCTTCTGATATGACACAAAGTTTTGTTTTGTCATCAGGTGACTAGAGAGGCTGCTCTGTTCACACTGGCTGATTCAGGGTCAGCATTTCTGCTCTAAATAGAGTAAATGCAGGTTATTTTAAAATGAAACTGTAATTTACAGGAAAAAAAAAAAAAACAACAACAGAACAACAAACCAAAACCAACCCTACCCCACTCAGCAGCTCCATTTTGTTACCTTTGTAAATCTGTACGTTTCACAAATGCAAATAATAAAAATGACAAGTTCATTAAATTAGTGTTAAACTGGCTTAGTGATGCAAGATGATACTTCTTGATTTATAAAACCAGTGCTGATACTCCTTGGCCACTGAGCCTGCCTATAATGTCTTTTCATTGTTAGCAATGTGTATTCATTTGGAAATTTATTTGCCTTTCGTAGGACCGTAGTTTGAAATTAATTTTTTTCAGATCAACAGTGTTTCTGCTTTTTTGGAAATGGAAAATGAATTCTGAAAGCTGTGTTTCATTGATTCAGTTTACAAAACAAACTAACGAAAGTATCGCTATGTAGCAGCTGTTAAATTTTTTATAAATCCTCTGGCTTTTGTATTTCTCTGTTTTTCGTACATATATACTCTTTTTTAAATAAGTGTAAATATATTTGTAAGTGTATTCCCTTGGTTCTCATTATGACTGCGTAACTGCTTGCTTGTATGTGAAATCTAAAAAGTCAGTATTTTGTAGCTATACTGTTAAAAATCACTGTCTTCATGCTAGAATTTTTTTAAACTTGATTTGCAAGCTATCCTGAGTGTAATAAATATGTGTTTTTAAGATTGTAAAGGGCTATCCTGGTAACGTGTATGGACTTTTGAACCTTTTCACAAATATGTGTTTTTTACAGCTGGACCTGTAGCCCTTATTGCTATGAATTTAATCAGAAAATAGTATATTCTTCACTGCACAAAACTGCCTAGCAGAGACTCATGATGGTGTGGTTTTTAATATACTCCTAAACTTTGTCCAGCAAGCATTAATAAGCTGATAAGACTAGAGTACATACTCAGTCTCATGGAGATAAGTACTGAAAAAATTATACGATATAGACTTTTTATTTCTCAAATATCAGTACTTCTATTATATCCTGGAAACATACTTCTAGCATGATTTAGCAATTTAATATGGTTTTATTCCAGCCAGATACAACAAAAATAAGGTTGTCACTTTTTTCTAACATCAGGCAATGCTGTTCTGACTACCTCTTTTTATGAGCTGAGATTTTAAATATTTTTTTTAATGCTTCTCCTCATTGTTGTTTGGTACCTGTTGATTTGTAAATGCTATTATATACCTTTAGACGGAGGAAGAAGTAGTTATAGCTTGGGAATAGAAATCCCAAGAGGACAGGTTGAAGGTTTTCTTTGAAGTAAATTGCAAATTTAGTGGTGTGTTTGTTTAGTTTTTTTTATTCTTCTTTTAATATGTGTTCCTGTATACCCTTTTTTATATCTTCATACTTTTTCTGAAGGATATGATGTTGATGAGCCTTTCTTGCATGGAACTGCAATTAGATCAGTGGCTGTTGACGAAAGGGAAGAGCTCTACAGGTGAGAACTTGCATGTTACTTTCTTCAGACTCTAGAAACACTCAAGGTATATGAAGAAGTGTTTCCAGGAATTCATTGGATTTTGGAGCTATTTTTACTTAATATCTTTCAGATCTGTATTTTATGGGTCTATCAATTGTTTGCCTTAAAGTAGATCAGTACTTTTGAAATACTACTATGTGGGACTCTTTTCATGGAGTGCTAGCAACTTTATGATAAAATGTAATTAATTGATTTGCAGTTTCTCCACGAAATTGCCCTGCTGCCTCTGTGAATGGAAGGTTTGGTCCTGACTTCCCAGGAACTCATTTCTTGGGAGACCTGTTGCAGCTGTCGTTTGCGTCCTCACAGCGAGATTTATTTGAGGAAGGCTGGATGGAGTTTGTCACTCGGGTGTATTGGCTGAAAGCTCGCTTTCTGGCACTGCAGGTTTGTTTGACTTTTGATTTGACAAATAAAACTTTTCTCAAATTAAAATCAATGTTGTTTGGAGACGCTACAGCTGATTGGGAATCTCAGCTCATTTAAGCATGCAGATAAAATCAGCTCAAAACGTAGTGATTTCACTTTACTCTTTAGTATAATCGACTGGCCCTAAGGGTAGAGGAGGAAGTGAAGTAAGAGGTCTCACATGCTAAGGTAATACTCAGATATGTTTAATATGTAAGTCTTTTTTTAAAACTAGCTCATGTTTGGCTTAAAAAAATATATTTGGACCCAAGTTATTTGGAGTAGTAATGCATAACTGCAGAACATGGATTTTTTGAGGACCTGGAGTAGTGGATATTATCAAAGTCCCAGACAGTCCAAAATGCAGCTTTCAACTGAAGCAGACTGTATATTTAGTTATTCTCCCCTCTGCTTTTTCAAGGTAGCATGGTTCTTCTTGTGGGGAAGTTGAATTTAAAGCCTCTCACTAAGGGAATAATTTCAAAGAACTGTTATTTGATCCCAGACTTTTTTTCCCCCCTCCGAGCATTGCTTCCTCAGGACATCAAAGAGTTTGTTTATGCATCTATTATGTTTAAGCTAATTGTCAGCTAACAATGTGAGTCAGTTTCGTAAGCGTGAACTGACCAGTTCCTTCCGTTTTTAGTTTTTGCATGTAAGGATTCTTTTCTAATAAAGGAAAAATGAGAGTTCCTATACAGCTATTGCCATCTTTTCTTTAGGTATACAGTTATATTTTGCCTGTGCAGCTTGCATTCCTCTCCTGACCACTCAGCTTCAGTATCTACTTCAGTTGGACAGAGCAAATAGAATGCATTTACTTTGAAGAATATAAGAATGTTTCATGACTCAATGTTTTTATTTGCACAAATGAAAGAGTTATTTCTACTGTTTTACTCTTCCGTGTTTTTAAAGGAAAGAGTTTTTAGCAATCCAAATTAATCTTTCAAATTTATGCAAGCTGGTTTGTATTTCTTAGTTTTGTTTTATTTGTTATTGAAGTCACTGGCAAGACATGCTGCCTTTTTTTTTTTTAATTGGAGATTGTAAATTGGATTTGTAATCACACTGGCAGTGCCTGCATTGAATTTAGACATTTTCTACATGCTTTAAATAGAATTCTAGGCTGTTTTTTGTGATTTATTTTTTTTCCTCTGTACTGTTTTTGTAGGGAGACATGGAACAGGCACTTGAAAACTATGATATCTGCACTGAAATGCTACAGAACTCCACTACAATGCAGGCTGAAGCTGGCAATGAAGGCAGCATCGTAATACGGTTGCCTAATCTGCATGTTGATTCCGTTGTTTCTTTGGAAGAGGTAAGAATTAATTTGCAGGTGTATTCTCCCCGCTCCATCCCTCACAGTGTCAAAGGTCATCTGCGAATTAGCTTTTTTGTGATATGGAGGTTTACCGTATCTGTCCTAGGATTTTTCTAAGAGTGAAAGTACAAGTTCATAGTTTAATGATGATGTCCAGGCCATCATTTCCTTTTTGGAAAGACACTTTTTTGGGTCCGTTGCTTCTGTATGACTTAAGATTACTTTTATGCAGAAGAAAAATATTAGAGCAGCTGCATGTAGAACAGTAGATTATTAGACTAGTGTTTTGTTTTCTGTTCTTAAACATAAATTTTGTAGAATCCTAGAATGGTTTGGGTTGGAAGGGACTTTAAAGGTCATCTAGTTCCAGCCCCCCTGCCATGGGCAGGGACGCCTTCCCCTAGATCAGGTTGCTCAGTTTCATCATTGCTTGAGTGAGCTCTTTACTTCAGCAGTCTGTTTTCCACACAACAATTTGTATACACTTTTAAATAAAGGCATGTCCATCTTTTATTCTTTGTATTGGTATTTTGAGGGATGAACTCCAACACAGGAGATACTGCCTTCACTTTGAAGTCTATCTGATGAATGTATGCTTGCAGTGTAGAAACGTGTGATTTTGGGATTTGAGGCAAAAAAGTTTAAAATCATTATAGCACTAAAGTCATATCCTATATAATGATTAAAAATCTGTGGAATAGGTGAAGTGTTACACAGTAGGTGTTTTCTTCCTGGTTCGTAGTCCTGGATGTAGCTCTCGAGTTCCCATAGTTTTACAGCTAAACTGCTTGGAGAAATGTCAGTAGTCGAACGTATGTGAAGACAAAATGAAAGTTGGATTGTGCCATCTGTGATGTTTGCAGATTGAAAAGAACCTAAAATCTCTGGAGAGATGCCAGTCTTTGGAAGAGATCCAGCGACTGTATGAGGCGGGGGATTATAACGCAGTGGTGCATCTGCTTCATCCAACATTGTGCTTTAATGGTTATGGCAGAGCAAAACATCTGGAATTTGTAACATCCATACCAGAGAGACCAGCACAGCTGCTTCTCCTACAGGTTTGTTTTGTTTCTTAAAAAACCTTTTTTTATCTGGGATTAAGATTTATTCCTGAAAACAGGATGACAGGCTTTCTAGAGTAGATGTTAGTGGTTAACAAGTCTTATTTACAAAGCAAAACGTGGAACCAAATCTGTAAGTGGTTTGAACAGCAGAGCTTTATTGATATCATTAGCAATATGCCAGCTTTTGCTAACTGAGATGTGGCTAAAGATGCCAGATGTCAGAGACCTACATGAAATGGCCAGAAAAACTGTAAATTCTAATAAACTTGAATAATCTTATGGATAGATTCATGCCATCTGCATCTGCTGTAAATACTTACTGTTTTTGCTGATGTTGACTATATGGTCATTTATAGCCATTCTGAAACTTAAAACTTACTGGCATATGAATGATTTTTATGATGTAGTGTGTCTGTCCTGCATGAATGACAAACTATTGATATATACATCCAGTGTAATTACTATAAATTTAGTCTGTTCGACACTATGAAAATAAGCGTACAAATGAACTCAGCTGTAGGAACAATTTGAGCCTATCAGGTTCTCCAGGGGAAAAAAAGTTTGCATGAGAAAAGACTGATGCTCTTTCAACTGCCCCTAACCGTATCCTTCAGCCTCTGTACCTTTTCATGACCCAAGCTTGGCAAAGTACAAAGAAGCAGGAGGATATTGCTATAATGCTAGCCTTATAGTTGCTATTTTGTATTTATGGAGTAATCAAATGGTAGCTCAAGACCATAAAGATCCAAACCCAGTTGTAGGGCCTCTATTCAACCGCATATCGTTGGAATTTTAGACATACAGCCATCCCTTTCCTGAATGGTGGTTGTGGTGTTTTTTTTTCTTGCATCTGTTATTAAAGCAGAAAGATTTGTGGTGATTTTTTTGAGGTTTAGATCCTACTTGTATGTTTGTCATCCAGGGAATAAGCACCTCTGATTGTCCTTTTTTAATGTTATTTTTAAAGATATTCTCTTATCATTTCATTAAAGTAACTGTATATGGTGTATTGCTTTGCCTTGCTGTTCATCCATGGTTTAAAATAAACCCTTCATCCTTATAATAGATTTTTTTCACATTTACATTGCCTAGGACTCCCTGCTCAAACTGAAAGATTACAAGCAATGCTTTGAATGCTCAGAAGTTGCTGTGAATGAAGCAATTCAGCAGATGATTAATATGGCAGCAGCCTCTGCTAAAGAAGAGTGGGTTGCTACGGTAACACAACTGCTCATGGGAATAGATACTTCATTATCATCAGTCAGCAGCATCCTGGATGACTCTTCTGTAACACCAAGCCTTGTTCGATTAACAAACAACCTGATTCAGGTAACCTGTTCACTTGCACTAGAAAAGAGGTGTTGCGTGCTCCAGACCTTCAGGCGCGATTCAGCTGCTGTGTCTGAATTGCCACCCGCTCCCAGTGACGTTTGGGTTACATATTTGTTGGGGAAGGTCAGGGAAAGAGGAGCATTGCCTTCATAATCTTCATTTTAATTTCAGTATGTTAGAGATGCACTGAGCGCACCCGTGCTGGGATCAGTAACAGCAGGTACCTTCAAACACCAAGCTGCCTGAAACAGTGACAGAATGGTAGTGCGATAACCCATGGAACAGCGCTGTTTTCTTACGCTGTTTGAAATGGTGGTAATACAAAGGCTGATTGAGCTGCCTGGGTGCAGTTTGTAAGTTATGGCACTGATCTTGACTGTGTGTGCTTTGGGCTAGACAAGAGCCTGTAAGCCTTATGGACATGGTGGAGTTGCGTGCAAGTGCTGGCCAAGCTAAGGGTTTTGAGAAGGGTGATGAGAAGACAGCAGGAAAAAAAGTAATGTGTGAACTGGTTCTACCATTATGAATACAGCTACTTTTAGCCTTTCAAAGAAGGCATTTTCAAACCTTAAAACTACTGAATGAGTATTTTTCAGTCCAGTTAACAAATGGCAGACTCTCAGTTCTGTTAACAAGCTGGCCTATTTAATGTCGAAATTCAATGTGCTTACAACTCTCAAATCTCCATTTGTTTCAGTAAAAGCCAAGGACCTTCACTACTCGCAAAATCATCTTTCTGTAAAGTTGTATGTCTGTTACTGTGTTATGGAATATAATGGAATTCTGGAGAACAGGATATTCATTGTAATATCCTAAATAATTTCTGTAGTAAAATTAATATGATTCTTTATCTCCGTAAATACGGAGAGAAAAACTGTTATATATGAGAAAAGTGTAGGACTTCAGAGATTTCTGGCACTGGCAATAAAATTAGCAGTTGTCTATGAGAAATGCTAGGACAATGGTTCCATGACAGTGTTGTGTTGCTCAGAATTTATTCAGTTGCATCATTTACAGAGCATGTGTTGATGATTCTAGTTGGTCTTTAACTGTTGTTGTAAGATCTGATAAAGAGTTCAGGAATTCTTTTAACTAAGTTCCTCTTCCTTACTGTTTGTAGCTAAATTTCTTCTACAGTAATGAGGCCTACTAACACTAAGAATTTATGCTGTGCACTTGTTACCTTTGAATTGTTTGTATATGGTATTAACAGAGAAATAACTAGTTGGGAAATGATGATGCAAGAGGAATGTCAAGGTAGGGGAAATGATCTTCTACCCTTCCCCTCAGCAGGTAATCTTATTTATAGGACTTTTACCACCACTCGTTGTGAGAAGGTGAGATTCAACTTTAGATTATTTCCTTAGCATAAAATGCATTACCAGCTCTGGGTTGTTTGGAAAGAATTCACACCTGATGTTTATTTCATACTTCTTTGTATAATGTCTGTTTCTTTATTAGATCATAGACTGCAGCATGGCGGTCCAGGAGGAACCAAAAGAACCGTATGTCTCCTCAGTGCTTCCATGGATTATCCTGCATAGAATCATCCAGCATGAGGAAGATGCTTTTCGATCCCTTTGCTGCCAGCAGCAGCAGAACCAGGGAGAAGAGGGTGGGTTAATTATTCACTTCTACATATTGGAGCTGAGGCCCTTACAATCTAGCTCTGGAATATAAATAAGGAAATACTTGTTTGTTGTCTTATCTTGCTAGCTGAAGGGAGTAGAGGCATATGCAAACATAACTTGCTTATCACACAGCGAACTTCTTTTTGCCAGATGTAGCATTGGCTAGTTGGATTTTACTCAGTTCTGTACTACTTAAATACTTACCAACTTCTTTGTTCCAGTGAGTCCTGATACCCCAATGTTGCCTTCTTCACTCATGCTGCTGAACACTGCTCATGAGTATTTGGGAAGAAGATCCTGGTGTTGCAATTCAGATGGCGCTCTTCTCAAGTTCTATGTAAGTGTTAGCATCATAGAATAATACAGGTTGGAAGGGACCTCTGAAAGTCATCTGGCCAACCCCCATCTCAAAGCTGGGACTAACCTCAAAGTTATATTAAATCGTTTATTACCTTGTCTTAATGTTAAACATACACTTTGAAATCCACTTTTCTTCTTCTCCCAGACAAACACGTGAATGCTTCTGTCAGTTTAATCTGAATAGCAAAGGCTTGTTATTCCAGACCCCCTGTCCATCAATATGGTTTCTAAACAGGACTTTTTTTTGTCAGACAAGAGATACCTTTGGATAACCAACTCCATACTATAAAAACATCTGAAATGGGGACTAGTAAATGATCTACCTTGCCCTGAAAGAGAAGGCACAAAACATAAAATCTCATCTATCTTGCTTATCTCTCACATGTCTTGCTGGAAGGTGACCTGTCTGTGTGGATGGACCATGCTTCTTGCTCCAATATTCCAGCAGCAGCTGTGGCTTTCGTCCCCCAACCAGGACGTTAAATTAGGCAGGATAGAAATGGCAAACTTTGAGCAAGAGGTGTGTGCTGTCTCAGCAGTGCATTCTGGTGGGTGTGCACCTCAGTCTTTCAGACAGGAAAAAAGGCAAGTGGGCTTAGCAGAGTTGGCTGTAGGGGTAGATAGCCCTGGTTCCCCACGAGAAGTGTGATGCGAGAAAGTAACCAAACCATAGCGTGGAGAACGAGCCACTCAATTCCCCAGAAACGAGGGGAAAAATGCTGTTAGTGATTGCCAGTAGAGTTGCATAGCTGGTCTTCCTGACAGAGACCAGTGTTGTTGTTTATCACACCTTTATTTCCTCAGAGTTCAAATGTTTGATAAGGATTTTGCAGTTAAGTAGATTTAACAATCATAATTGGTGGTATTAGGAACAGAATTTTACCCAATTATGCATAGGTGGGACAGACATGACACGACAATGCAAACTTTTGTTTCCTCCCATGAGCTGTTAATCAGCCTCAATTATATTCAGGTCTGCTTTTCTTTTTTTCCCCCAGTCTGATAACAAAAGGATAAAAGGGATTTAAAATAACCGACTGTGGGAGGAAAGGGAAATACTTAGTGTCATATGTAGCCACTTTAGATGTTTTCTGTTGAACAATGCTGAGTTCATCATGAATTCCTTACAAGGTATAGTACCTCTGAAGTCATGCAAAATTTACATACTGCTAAAGATAACCATCTCGTGCTTTGAAGGATAACCTAATCATTCATATGAAATAAAAATGCAGAAAAGTCTTTTTTCAAAGCTTTTGTAAAGAACTGCATAACCTGTTTTGTTCATTGCAGGGTTTTTCTTAGGTGTTTTGGTTTATTGTTTTCTAGAACACAAATATTGCTAGTTCAAGATTTAGAAAGAACTTGTGTTGGTAGTCTTATTTGTGCTGAAAGGGGTGGAGTGATTATCCTTGACATACCTTATCATGTTGTCAAAGGTGTTAAATATTAAAATGGATGTAGCAGAGACGTGGATAGTTGGTAGTAGGGATGTGGATAATTGGCAGCAAAGCTGAGCAACTCAGTACATGGACTGTTTTTAAAAAAAAAACACAAAAATAACTATTGCTTTCAGATGATGCTTGAAATGTTTAAATTTGTATAAAGCAAAATTACATTTTTAAGGACGTTTTTCTGTCATCACAGACTGAGACCAAGTTTCATGTATTAGTGACCTTCAAGTGGAAGAATGTAGGTATAGTCTTTGCTTGTAAGAATGTGTTGAAGGATGATTTCTTCTCAGAAAGACGAGAAGTAAAGAATCATGCTCGTTTATGTTCAGTAATCAAAATGATACTCAAATATTTTAATTGTGGTAACTCTTAAATTAAGGAAAATAAAAATTGAGTAGTGAATGTAAGAAAAATGACAGCATAACTAAGTATTAGAATAAAAAGTTATGTTCTGTGTTTGGAAGTCAGTTTTCTAAAATCTGGCTAGTAATAGAGATAAACTCTTGAGTGTTGTTAGAAAATAAACCTGGGAATAGTTTATTTTCTGTCATAATTCCCATTGTTATGTGGACTTATCTCACTGAGAAGAAGAATTGTTTTCTTCTGATTTTTTTCTCCTCTATTTTGGTTCTTGCACTAGTATTTTATTTTGTTCCTAAGATTTGAAAGAGAAGTAGGAGTAGCTGTGATGTGTTTGGCTGTTCTACTGTTGATAAATTTGACTCATTTAATTATACCTGCTTTGATTTTTATACCACAGACTGAAAAAGAAAAAGTGATTCTATTGTTTTCATGTTATTAACTATGTATAGCTTCAAATACAGAGTTTATCTATTGAACAAAATAATGAGAATGATGACGAGTTGCTTCAGTCCTTCCTTCCATGTGCCTGAAGGCTGTTTTCTGCTCTGTTCAGAGGAGTGTCTCAGAAGATGTAAAGTTCTCCAGAATGGGTGTCTGGGCAGTAATGCTGTAGCATTATTACATGAAAGGAGTTACCCACTCATTGTTGACCTTTTTAAGATTATTCCTTGAGGTCTAGTTGGTACTCCAGAACAGAAATTTCCCATGGTTGAAGGAGAATATGTCTATGTGTATTGCTGTTTCCTCGCTTTATCTTTCGCTTAGGAACTCCAGTGCAGGCAGCTTTCCACTGTGCTGGCAGTCTGGGAGAGCCCGGCCGTTGGCAAAACCCAGACAGTACAGTACCGTGCCGTTCGCTGGGCAATGCTCTACAGAGATGTTTTAGTGGCACTTTACAGATTCAGCTTGACTTTATTGAGGTTTATTACTTTCAGCCAAGAGAAAAACATGATTAATTCTGCATAGAGCTACTTGGGAATCTCTTACTTTCCCTTCTCAGTGCTCCCTGGAGCTTATTAGCCACAGCTCAGTGCCAGACCACATCTACCTCTGCATTGAGCAGCTGTGTGTCCAGGACAGTAATTTAGACAGCTGGGAAGGATGGCACGGAGAGCCTGAGGGGTTCTGCAGGAGTCAGCTCACCCTGGTAGGACTGGAGCTGCAGAACAGTGTTTGAGCTGAGGCTGATTCCATGTAGGACTATTGGATTATCTCTGCATCTTACTCTCCTCGATCTCCCTGCTATTAGGAGCATATCGCTGATACACCTGAGTTGCTGCTGCGTGGATCTGCCTCCGGTCCAGAGGGCTTATTAGCTCGAACACTGTACTTCATGGAAATAGATAGTCTGTTTCCAGACTCGAGCTTGCCCTCAGGTGCCGTGCTCCGAAGTGATGAATCTAAATTCTGTCGGTATAGTGTGCCTGTATCCACAGCCTGGCAGTCTGGTAGTATGCTCTGTGAACCTGGATAAACTGCAGATAATTGAGAGCTGCGAATGTCTTTACAGCTAGATCTTTGCAAATGTCATCAGCTACTTTGAAGAAAACCTTCAATTTTCAGTCACAGAATTGCCCACTTAAACTAAAATACAGTATGGTATTATTGAGCACAAGAATTTAGTTTTCGGAGACAAGAGGGTGTTGGAAGGGTAAAGAAAGACAAAGATAAAAAGAAATGCAGCGGCCTTTCTCTTCAAATAACTCAAGACTGTTAAATGAAAGTGTGTTTTGTAGACTAGGATTGAATGATCACCTTCTGTAGGTGAACTGTCTGCTCAGGTACGTTGTACTGCTTGTGGCTGAAGGTGGTGTGCAAGAGAAAATGTTAAAGCGCAGTTAAGTTCTTTAACAATAATCAAAGTCTGAATTATTAAAAACAAAATTCTGGGTTACTGCTAAGAATTTAAAAGCTGAATAAGAGCACAGGAGATTGTTTTGAACACGAACTGTTCAAGTGAGAATTGTTACTGGTGTTAGATGTGATTTTGTTTGCAGCAGTAGGAATATCATGATTTTGTCACAGTATCCTATGATGCTTATGTCTTCCTTTCAACTCACACTTCTCTTAAATTTCAAACATTGTTCACAAATTCTTACAGGAAAAGTAGGAGAAATAAAGTGTCTGCTGTGACTCAAAGATGATGCTATGACTCAAAATTTCATTGAAATACCTTCTAAGAATTATCTTTACTTTCATTTTCAAGAGGTTTGACTCTTAATAAATGGTACCTTGTTCTTAGCACAAATCTTTTAAGCAGAAGAGAATTAGCATCTTGTAGTTAATCCCAGGATTTACAGACAAGCTTCTTACATGTAGAATGATAGAATTTTGCCTTGTGATGATGTGCAGCGTTTATGGTATCAGGAAAGCCAATTGTGATGAGAAGCTTCTTGTAGCATGCATCGTATGCATAAATGATTGAGTTTACAATCCTGGGTATTGAAAAGTGATAAATGGTGCTAAAAAGGCAGCTGAACTACTGTAAAAGTAATATGATGAGCTTTTCTATGAATTGCAAATAGGTGAATTTTGTTTTGCATTTTCAATTTATGACTGCAGAATTTCAGTTGAGGAAATTCGTTAAGTTAACCAACGTGTTAAGGAATGGGTATGGCTGATTTGGAGAAGTCAGATTTTTCTAAAATGAATAAATGAAAGTTGATGCTTTCTATCAGAGGAAAAATGTTAAAGGAAATTACTTATCAGTTAATAGAACTCTCCTGGTAGTATACAGCTTCCTAAAACTTTAGAGACAAATCACAGTGGAGAACTTGGTATTTTTCTGTACCCTTTAGTCTCCCAAATGATGATTACAGTAGAACCATTTCTCTTCTGCCACCTCAAATGAGTTTTCTTTAGAGGTAACAGGTGTGCTCTGATGCTGGGGACACACACACATACTGCCGTTGGATGTGTATGATATTATGAATGTGATTTCTACTTAAACATTTCATTTTTTAATTTAAATTTCATAGTGAAACATGTTGGAATTGATTCTTAAACCTCGGTGATTAAGTGTGGGTTCTGTTCTGGTATTGAAATAAAGATCCAAAATCCCACTACACAGGTTATTATTGGTGAACATGTTTCTCTTGTCTTTGAAATGTCTTCCTGTGATGTGTTCTTTTTTGATTTGCTTTTTAAGGAAGTTCAGTGAAAATTTTCGAAGAATTACCTTTCGCCTTTTGGCATTCAGTTGCAGTTTTCTTCAATGAATGTTTTAGAATAATAGCATCTTCCAAAATATGCTACCGATAGGTATTTTTTTCTTGTAATGTTAAAGTTAAATATAGCAACTTGCTACAGTGTTTAGTCATTTGGGATCAGTCCAGCCAGTTTCCTTGGTGTGTAGCCATCTGTATAATACTATTCATACTGTGCAGTTCTATATCCCTTCTAACCATATTTTCATTAGCCATCCCTTCTTTTTCCACAAAGTCCTCTCCATCCCCCTTTTTCCATGCAGAGGAAATTGTTGTTTGTGTATTAGGGCAGAAATTCTTCTATGCCTTTTCTTTATTCACAGGGTTGACAAATGGTAGCATTTGTATTCACAGAAGCAACTTGATGTGTAGTGGAAAGCTTTGAATGATCTTAAGTCTAAAGCATTAAACTGATACGTAATTTCATCGATTAAAGACAAGACTTCATGAATTAACATAGGGAAAAAATAAAAGCACTTTATAGCAGTTACAGTGCCATGGAAATTAGTTGTGTGAGAGTAGTTTACAGAAATACGGGTAATATTTGATTGTAAGTGGGGGAAGAAAACGTGTAGTTCCTTAATGTTGTTTTCATCATCTGCCTTCAGACAACTAGGTACCTTAATGCAATCTTCAGCTTGCAGCTGACTTTTTGAATGATATTTGTGGTGTTGTAGGTTCAGGTACTACAAAAAGAACTTGCAGCATCCACTTCTGAAGATACTCATCCATACAAAGAAGAGCTGGAAACAGCCTTGGAGCAGTGTTTTTATTGTTTATATGGTTTCCCTAGTAAAAAAAGCAAAGCAAGGTACCTAGAAGAACATTCAGTACAGCAGGTAAGATATTTATTATTTCCTGTCAGTGGAATATCTTGAAGGGATGCAAGATACACCCTTGTTTGGTTTTAATGCACCTTAATATATTTTGGACAAAGATTACTTTTATTTCCTTGTAAAATTTATGTATTTTACATATTGTAGAAAATTAACTCATTAAAAATATATGGAAATCTTTACAAATGTAAAGGGTCAGATATTTGAAATGAAATGCTAGTATAGTCTTATTCACAGTAGTCTGCCATTTTGAAACTATTGACAAATTGATTTTATTGAGCCATGACTTTCCTGTTTTCAACAGAGAAGAAGTTCGAGTTTTGAGGAAAAATAGAGAGGAAAAAAAAGTCAGCTTGAGAGAAGAAAACTTTAGCAGCCAGCCTTGCAGTTTATGAATGTGAAAAATGTCACTGTTAAAAATTATGCAAGTAAATTATATTATAGCTTATTTTGAAATCTATGATGGTAAATATGTGATAGCTGTTTATGAGGAATGTTTGAAATTCAGTTGAGTTTGGGAAAAGAACAACTACAGAGTGCCTTGGGAAGAGGGTAGTATTAAGGAAGGGACAGAAAAAGCAGGTCAGCAATCCTCTGCCTTGAAACATCACTGATTTTGTTCAAAAACCTCAAATGATTTTTGCATTAACCAAATAAAATGATCGTAAATTGTAAATGAAGAACAGTTTCATATAAGCAAAGCTATTATCTTGCTCCTTTGAACAGACCTTTTTAAATACACGAATACTGTTAGCTTTTTACTCATTGCATGTTTGTGAATTCTGTCTCTTAAACTTACCTGTTAGAAAATTAACATAATGAGAAAATGGAAATAACTGAGAAAAGGGGAAGTGTAAGGAGATGACCCTCCGTTCTCTCTCTCCCCCGAAAAAAATCTGTTACGTTTGGGCAATTCTGAATGTAAAATGACAAATTGATTTTTAGTAATGTGACTTCCCCGTTATCAGTACAGAAGCAAAATTGACAGTAAGGAATAAGATGAACAATGAAAGGAAAAAAATTAGTCTAGGAGAAGAGAACTGTAGGTTTTTAAATATTTTTTTTACTATTTTCAAGAAAGAAAAGTGGAAGAAAATGAGGAATGAATTCTGAAACTTACCTTTCTGTAGGAACTTTGAAGATTTTTCAGATTTTTGTCTGATTCCCATTTCATTTATCCTTACTTGAGTTTGAAATCAAAGGTGTAGAGCTTTTTCTCCTCCATATCTTACTCATGATGTCAGTGTCACTCAGGATGCTTGCGCTTGATTCTCGCTTATAACCAACTTTTCTGAGCTACTCTTTTAAGCAAGTAGAATGACTTTGTCAGTGACAGACACTAGGTTGCAGCCCAATACCTTAGTCTTTTAAATCAGCGAGCGGCATGCTATATTATGCAGTGAGCAGCATAAATTAATGACACCTTTAGTTGTTCTGTTCTTGGGAGGTTTAATTTGTTTCCTGCTAGAGCAATATGAATAGTCTTGTGATCTAGAAAAGCCATAGAAACTCATCATTAGTAGACTTTGGAATTTTGGAATTTGAGATAATTTTTTTTCCCCCTCTCATCTACCTCTCTCTTCAGGTTGATCTAACATGGGAAGATGCTTTGTTCATGTTTGAGTATTTTAAGCCTAAAACTCTTCCAGAATTTGATAGTTATAAAACCAGTACTGTGTCTGCCGATTTGGCCAACCTTTTGAAGAAGACTGCTACAATTGTTCCTCGAACGGACAAGCCTATGCTGAGCCTAGATACTGTATCTGCCTATATTGAAGGAACATGCAGCAAGGTATAATTAATTGCTTTTAAAATAAATTCAAAAGGAGTAAAAATTATTGCTGTTTTTATTATGTTGACTTTGAGATAGTTAGGGGAATGATCTATGCCATGATATTTCGTTTCCTCAGGTAATTGCATTTAAATGAAATAAGAATGACACTACCAAAGCTTTTAGTCTTGGAATGGGAAGATGTTATATTGGTTAATATGGAGTCAGTATGAGGTGTTCATTAGTGTTTGTAAGTGCTCTGTGTATCTGTGGAATGTTTTCATTGTCTTCATGTCTGATACGTTCATATTCTGTGATGAAATGGCTACTTTCACTACAAGGAAGAAGCAAGTGTGCAGCTCATTTAATATGAACATTTCATTTAATATGAACCTTTACTTTTTTTTTTTTTATTTTCAGGCACCATCTCTCCCAGATGGCGCAGATTATTCTCCACCAGTGGTGACTGAGTTGTACTATCTTCTGGCAGACTATCATTTCAAGAATAAAGAGCAGTCTAAGGCCATTAAATTTTACATGCACGACATTTGTATATGTCCAAACAGGTCAGTATTATTGAATCCTGCTGCGCATCATTCGTTCTTCTCACTTCTTTCAGTACTGAAAAGCAGACCACAAAAGATTTTGGTTTTAGGAGTTAAAAAAAAAAAAACAAACCACAACTAAAAAAACCCACATGTAATCCATTATTGTAGGTAGATTGTATAATTAAGAGCATCTCTACAAAAAAAAACAGAATTTAGTGTTGGATATTTCTTTCTTCTGAAACTAAAACCAAAAAATGAAAGGAGGGCTGCTAAATAAAAATCAAGAATAAGTGGGAAGGGCAAGGACCAAATCAATATTTCTCTTTTGTAACTTTTCTTCTTCATACATGACAAGGAATGAAAAATGTCACTGTTTAATAGCATAAGCTATAGCACAAATCGCATTCTTTAGTGGATTACTGTTCAAGCTGACCTCTTTCTAAAATTATTGATTATTTAAACTAAAACACCTTGTTTCTTGGTAATTTACAACTTTCTGAAATACCAGCAAGATTAAGCTCTCTCATCTTAATAATAAAGCGTATTTTGAACAAGTTTTTTAAAATGAAATTAAATAATCTTTAAATTTACTGATTAAATATGAGCTTTGCATATTAGATCTTAGCTATCTTTTTAATTCTCCTTGAATTTGGTAAATCAGGGTCAGTGACAAAAACTCTGATTTGGTAGGCTTGAGACAAGAAAACTATTTGTAAATCCAGCCATGTAACTGAGACGAAAGGGAAGGTGAAGGCACAGAGCAATTTTACATGTGAAATCTACAGAGGAAATTGCTGTAGTTTAGTGTTACTGAATCTTCCAGTCTGGGAACTGTGATTAACAGATTGCTAAAAATTTGTTTGAAACCTGATAAAGAAATTACCAAACCCCTCCTCCCCATTTTTTTTTTGTAGTTTTGATACCTCAAAACCAAAATCCATAAATAACTAACAGTGGAATGCATTTTTACTTTATGCGTGCCATTTGTTGCTCAGAAGATGCTTTATATGGTAGCGTAGTATTTCTACGTCTGTTATATAAGATGTTACTTCCTCAAATGTCTGTATTACAGTTCCCCTTCCATTCCCCTCAGGAGTCTGACTATTGAGGTCACTTGACCCAGAAATGGGTTTTCAGTTGAAATTAGCAAGAAATTACAAGCAAAAGTATGAGAACGTTTTGATTATTCTTTTGGTGTTAGAATCATGGTGAAATTGAAAAATCCCAGAGCCATCGACCCCAGATGCTAATTAGAGACTGTGGAATACGGAAACTACTCTTCAGAGTGTGTTGTCAATGATCTAATAAACACAGGACTAGATCCTGAACAATCCCCTCAGTAAGCAGTCTGTTGTTCATCAGGATGTTCCTACATGAATGCGTTTTGGTTTTTGTGGTTTTTTTATTTTTTTATGTTGGAAAATGATGATCATGACGATAAAAACCATTCACAGTTCAGTCCAACAATACAAAATGTCGTAATGGCTGTGTGCTGGCCTACAGAAATACAGGGTGACAGTGTTTGGACAGGACAGCGTGGTTGCTGAGAAAAGAAATCAATTCTTTTGATGTGAAGTACAGATAGGCTATTTTTGCATGGCAAACAAACCTTGTTTCTTCTGGTTTTCATGCGTGACAATTACTGGGGACAGTGCTTTATTAGGAAATCATTTTTAATAAAATCGGTATGATTTAGGCTATACAGCCTCTGTTTCATTATGAGGGGAAGAAGAGATGCAGGAATCTTTTTTGAGAGGATGAAAGGAAGATGTTTGTGGATATAATAAAGTGAACCTTGTCTGTGCCATTCAGTGTAACATTTAGGGGGGAAACAGTTCATGTGTGATGTTCTTGCTTGCATAGGTTTGATTCATGGGCTGGCATGGCTCTGGCTCGAGCAAGTCGCATTCAGGACAAGCTGAACTCTAATGAATTGAAGAGTGATGGTCCAATCTGGAAGCACTCGACTCCCGTCTTGAATTGCTTCAAGCGAGCCCTCGAGATCGACAGCTCTAATCTCTCTTTGTGGATAGAGTACGGCACCATTTCCTATGCCCTGCATTCTTTTGCATCCCGACAACTTAAGCAGTGGAAATCAGAACTACCCCCTGAAGTTGTGCAGCAGGTGGGATCTAACTGAGCAGTATGAAATTTTAAATGTTTTAAATGATCTTTTCTAACGTCGTAACTTTTTAAATTGAATATTTACACACTGTATACCACGTACTAGACTATGCTTACTCAGTAATACAGAAACTCTAATATTCATTCATATAAGCTGCTGGTGTCAAGCAGTATTTAAAGGGCTTTTTTCTTTATTTTTCTGTGTAAAATTGGTTTGAGCCTGATCTTTGAATTATCTTTCAAAGGTGACGCAAAATTATTGTAACCTTCTGGAAAGGGGAATTGTATTTACCTTACCTTTCTGTAAATGTCATACAGTGTTTCCAGGAAAGGGTGAAACGTATGCATATTTAAATAGCAAACAGGTCGGGAATTACTCTGATAGCTGTGTCCATCTGTCATCTCTTGTATCTAAAGACATGCTGCCCCTTTTCTGGTTTTGAACTATTTACTTAAACAAAAGATCAAAACGAGACAGAGAATTTTCATAGAAAAAGTTGTTACAAATTCATTAGCTCTTTATGCATGACGATGATGAAAAAGAGTCGTTATGAAGTTTATTGCCAAAATGAGCAATTCTGAATGCTCTCTGACAGTGGTAAGAGTTGCTAGGGGAAATGTTTTGTCTGCCTGTTTGGACCAGTAAACTCTATTTCTGATTTAACTGTTCTGACTTAGAAATATTATGTACTCCACAACTGGAAGCAGAATGAAAAAAGAAGTGCTGCTTCTGCTGTAATTTGTAAAAACTTTTAGTGTTTGAACTATAGAGAACAGTATTGGGAACATCCTTTGTTTCCAGGAGAACATATTTACAGGAAGGTGTCAGGTCTTGCATCTGAGCTGCCTGTGTAACTATTAACATTGCACTTCCCATAGACACACAGCGTTTGACCCTCAAAGAAGACAGACGATGGAAGTGTGTGTATTAAAGGAGAACAAATGGTTCATTAATAGTAGGTTTGAAATGACAGCTAATAGTAGAGTTTTCTTTCTGAGGCTAATTACATCCCAGAGCTCCAAAACTAACTAGTCAGAAAATGAAGTTATTACGTTTTATGCCTTTGATCTATCAAAAGTTTGGTCTTACTGTCTTGCGGCCTCTTGACTGTGAGGGACTTGCTGAAGAATTCCAGGGATAATGCTGGAGTTACTTTGTGTTACCAGATAAAAGGTACAACACAGAACAGCCATCTTAAGTTGTTGATCAAATCAGAATGTTTATTTCGGACTACTTGAATCTTCCTTTTTTTTTTTTTTCCCAAGTGAATATATTAAAATGGCACAATCTACTAAGAAAAGCTCTATTATAATAAAAGATAAATTGGAACAAGATAATCTCCCTTCCAGGGATATAGCTCTTCAGGAATGTGATTCTTCTACACAAAAACCTCATTATTCTCCTCTCCTTACATAATATTTAGAAGGTGAAAGGCTATGTTGTAGTTTTTGAAGTGCAACAAGTGCTTAGGATACTGTCATAGCCCAGCAATTTAAATTTATAAACTTCTTTTTCAAAGAGAGAAAATTACGGTAATAAATCTTTACATTTAGTTTTTTATGTGACTTTGTTGGCAGCTAACCTTAATTTATGCTGCTGGTTTTAATTTCTTTGGGGAGAGGGGTATTCTTGCCATATTCAGCTCAAAATTAGGTGCATTGCAAACAAGATAAAATACATTTCTTCAAAGATAATAGTGATCCGTATTGGCTCTGGGAGACTTAGTTGCAGAACAAAACAAGTAGTATTTTTTCTCTGAATATTTAAAATAATTACAGTTCTGAAAAAGTGGTAAAGTTACTTTTTGTAGACATGCATACTAATGTGTTATTTTTAACATTTATGTTTATATATGTATTCTTACACTTCTGTCTTAACTGTTTTGTTCTGGTTATTTGTGTCAGCAGTTACTGGAACGAACAAAAATCTATTCATAAAGACATTTTGTGGGCCATCAGGATGTATTTGATCACTTAGATATGTTCCATGTCTTTTAGGTTGAAAATATTTTAAATTATGTACCTCGTTTATGCACTTCTACATGCAAGAATGTATTTTTAGAATTTTTCATCCCAGCCACAGCGAATTC